CGACATCTTTTTTCTACAAACCTCCATACCTACCCAACACACCTACGCCAAAGATGACACGAAGAGTAATGACGATGCGATCGACAGCCCTTTCTGCATGGCAGAGCTCAACCACGCTCTCCAACACGCAAATGCGCGGAGCACGCCGGGCGCCGATAGCATACCCTACGCCTACCTCCGCAATTTGCCGGACTCTTACAAAAACGCCCTTCTTGACGAGATCAATCAGATCTGGAACGAGGGCAAACTACCCGAGGCATGGAAATTTTTTCTTGTGAAGCCAATCCCGAAACCCGGAACCCCCCCCCCCCCCCCCCCCCCCATTCTCTAACGAACCTCAGGCCTATTTCGTTAACTTCTTGCCTTTGCAAACTGATGGAGAGCATGGTGAACGCTCGCTTGATCTGGCACATCGAAGACAAACAGCTCCTCTATCCTACCCAATATGGCTTCCGTCATGGTCTATCAACTCAGGACGTCTTTCTTCGCCTCAAAGAAACTGTCCTGAACAAATCCTCCCCACACCCCAAAATCGTGGTGGCAGTGGATATCCGAAAGGCCTTTGACGGCGTTCCTCATGCCACGGTCCTCGCCAAAGCTCGCGATCTCGGACTGAAAGGAAAGATCTACAACTTTATTGCTGCCTTCCTAAAGAACAGATCATTCCAAGTTCAAATCGGGCAAGAAACCAGCAGCACCCACCACAACGGGGTCGGTGTCCCCCAGGGATCCGTGATAGCCCCTACGTTGTTTAACATAGCAATGTCCCAACTACCGGCATGGCTGGCAAAGATTCCGAACATCGAACACGCCATGTACGCAGACGATGTTTCAGTGTGGACCCACACGGGATGCTTAGGCAAACAAGAGGAAGCCCTCCAAGCGGCACTCGACACCATACATGCATACTCAATCGAAGTGGGTTTGGCTACGGCACCAGACAAAACTGAGTTCGTCGTGGTTCATGGGGGCAGACATACCAAAGCCAAAGAAGCCGACAAAGACAACATCAGCTTATCAATCGGTGAGCAGCCCATCGCTCGCAAAGTCTTCATCCGATTGCTCGGGATGTTCATCGGCAAAAAATGCACAGCAAACTCCTGGTATAGCCGTACTGTCGCAACCACTAAACAAGTTTTACACGTCCTGCGCAGAATCTCAAACCGTACCAGGGGGGTAAAAGAACGCGAACTTCGCCAGTTTGTCACCTCCTTTATTCACGCGAAAGTGATGTATGGTTTGCCATACCACCCCGTCACCCGGACGCAGCTTCAAGCCCTAGAACGTCTCAACCACGAGGCAAGGCGAATAACCACTGGGCTCCCTCGTTACACACCACTAGCAGCTCTGAAAAGCTGCAGTGGCATTAATGACCTCACAGAGCTTCTTGAGACACACCTTCACACACAAGAGGTCCGCCTTCGATCCACGCACGCTGGCAGACACACGCTAGCCATGCTTGGACATGACATTACCAACCTTCCAGACCCCCCACAACTGTCGCCGCCCTGGGAGCACATCATGCTCACCGATTCCACACCGGTGCCACAGCATATGCCCCCCCGAGCAAGTAGAACGAAGACGAACCTTCGTCAAGACACATGTCAAGTGGACCCAAACCGCCTGCCTGGAAGAAGATACCCGCATCGTCTACACGGACGCCGCTTGTCTTCAAGATGGAACGGATTTTGCCACGGCTTGGGTTGAAACCACTACGTCAACTCAGGGGCAACTCTATCACGCCACAACGGAGCCAGTCCACAGCACGCAAGCAGAAATGCACGCTATCATTGATTATGTTCGACTTGCAAACGATTCCTCCAACAACAGCAACACCAAGACCCATTTTCACGTCTTTACAGATTCTCAAGCTGCACATCGGGCTTGTGCGGATGTTCGGCACACCACCGTGGCTGTTGAGCAGCTCAGACTCTCCGTGCAACACTTACGTGCTCTCGGGCACGACCTCACAATACACTGGGTACCCGGGCACTCCGGAATACCCGGCAACAAAAAAGCTCACCGCCTCGCACGCGCGCTCTTACTATCCGTGCAGGCCAGAGCAAGATCCAAAGATACAGTTTGCCTTCCTCACGAACAAGTAGAGTCCCGTGCACTACCACTCGACCCAGCGGAAGAGATATTCAAGGCACGGCACTACCGCAGAGCCTACCTCTTGGCTACCGCCAATCCCCTCCTTACACCCTTCCCTCCTTCTCAACTCTTCTCTCGCCGGCAGCTTGTCACGCTCCGCCAAATTCAGACCGGGACCATCCTCACCCCTTACCTGCTACAGCGGTTCCGTCAGCACAGCAGCAGCCGCCGCGAAAAGGGCAGTTGTGCTGCTACCACCAACCTTCCTGGTGCATGCGCATTGTGCCGCAAAAACGCTGATCTGGAGCACCTGCTCTGGGACTGCCCGCGATACTCGGAGCCCCGAACCCGCACCTTGGCTACCATCCAGCAGAGATTCAGGCCTACCTCGCTGCATGCCTGGGCCTGCCCGGACCCCTCCTTCCCCAAAGTGATCGCTATCGAACTCTGGCGATCGCTGCTCGCGTACATCCAGGACCCTGCAGCTCCCCCTGTCGGCACGCGGCTTCAAGGCATTCAGCTCTCCACCACTGAGCCCAGGCAAAACACCAGGCCTGAACCTACTGCAGATCTATTCTCTGACGCCGTCGCACCAACCGGGCCAACAGAGAAGAATGGAAGCTCCCTGTCCCCCGCTCCTGTACCCTAAACCCTTTCACCGCAGCATTTCTTAATGCAAAAAAGTGAAATAAACGTTCCTACCTACCTACCAGGCACACAGGAGACTACATCGCGGGAGAGATTGTGAAGGTTGTGGAGAAAATTGGAACCGACAAGGTTTTCGCTCTTGTTACCGACAATGCAAGCAACATGAAGGCCGCGTGGACAATCGGCAGTCTGCGCTACCCTAGCATCACTACTCTTGGATGCTGTGCTCATGGACTAAACTTGTTGCTGTCGGACATGCTCAAACTGGTGACATTGCAAGAAGTTTGCAAGAGGTCCAAGACTGTAATCAAGTATGTCAGAAACTCTCACGTGGTTGCGGCTCACTTTGCTAAGAGGCAAGAAAAGTGCTATGCTGGAAACCAGACCACATTAAAACTAGCAGCTGAAACTCGCTGGGCGGGCATTTTGATGTCACTAGATGGCTTACTGAAGAACAAAGAAGCTTTACAGAAAACTGTGATCGCTGCGGAGCTTCAAGTGAGCAGGGAAATAAGATCAACGATATTAGATGAAGACTACTTTTGGCGAGATGTGCAAAGCACCTTCCACGTGTTGCAGCGAGTTGCCTGTGCTATTTCCGAGGCTGAGTCAGACACTGCTGTCCTCTCAGACGTCCATGAGATCCTGTTCAAAGTAACAAGACAAGTCGAAGAGGCCCTTCCAAACTCTGCCTTGACAACGGGCGAAAAGGAAAGAGTAGCAGAAATCCTGCGTGAGCGACGCAACTTTATTTGCCGTCCAGCACATGCTGCCGCAAATTTGCTCGACCCGAAGTTCAAAGGGCGGTGCTTAAGTGACGAAGAGGTATGCCACGCAATGGACTACATCACAGAGACAGCAGAAAGGATGTGTCTCGATGTGGGAAAAGTGTTGTCAAATCTCGCCGAATACCGGGTCCAGTCAGGTGCTTTGTCGAGGGAGGCATTGGAGGACTCGGCGAAGCATATTCCACCGTCCACGTGGTGGCAAGGGCTGTGTGCCTCTGAACCCCTGGCACCAATTGCTTGTCGCCTTCTCCAAGTCCCGCCCTCCTCCGCTGCGTGCGAACGAAACTGGTCGAAGTTCAGCGGTGTCCACACCAAAAGTAGGAACCGACTCAAAGGACACAGAGTGCAGAAGTTGGTGTTTGTTCGCTCCAATCTCGAGCTCAGGGGCCCTGATCTGAAATACCACGACGGAGATGACTCAAGCGTGGAGTCAGAGTAGCCCTAACTAACAGACTGCTTTGGAACATCCGTCTTAATTTACAAAAGATATCTAGTCAACGCGTGCATATCTACCTCATCCAATGTTGGTTTTGAAGTTTGATCCTGTACTCTTTAATGCAGAACTAGTTGTGCCCTTAGAAGGGAAAAGGGTCATGACAAAATACATCAATGTTGTCAAACTTCACTCCCCTTTGAATATGATTATTTAACGTGGCATTAAAACATGGCACTACCTTCATGATGGTACATAAAGCAATTAATTTCTTCAATGGTTGACATATGCGACTATATTTCGCCACTCTGCTGTTATATTATTTAAAGCTATGTTCATGCTGGTGCGGTAGTGGAGATCCGGCTGTAAATTAAGAGTCTCGTATATTATTTATTGACCGAGAAAAACGCCATAGAGGACTTAGAAACACGGCTTCATCACATGCGTACACACTACCAACAAGCCTCGGACAGCACTGTCATTTCTCCTCCGTATAAGGCGTTCACACTGAACAGTAAAGCAACGGTCATTCGGGATGGTTGCTGCATAGTTTTTAGACAACGCAAACGGTGCAACGACGGGGCGAGGCGGCAGACAACCCGAGGTGATTGTGTTTCCTCACTTGCCCCGCCGTCGCGTTGTTTTGTTTTCTTAGGGCTGAAAGATGTATTATGTTTAGTATAGCGTGATTAAGCTTCCGCCTGCTCTGCCGGCAAAACTCAATTCAGAGGAGCGTGATGGCCATTTTCCCTTTCGATGAGGTCAGCGATATCAATTATAACGTTCGTTGCAGAAATTTGCTTAATAGATTTGTTAATACTTCAAAAACTTGGGTTTCGGTTTTTTTCCCGAATACTATGTCGGGGAAAAAACCAGAAAAAACAGTTTTTTTCCAAACTTTCCGGTTTTTTTCCGAGCCCTCGCATCACTAGTACCAGGTAGTCGTGTTTGACGCTGTCATACGCTTTTTGGATATCAATCCAGAACGTAAACAGCTCGTTGTTGTGCTTTTGGCTGAGCACTTTGTTGAGGAGGGTTTACTGTTTTGCACCTTGGAAGCCTCTTTGAGTACCCATCAGGTTGGCCGAGATCACCTCATTCACCTCGCACAGGTCCGTCACCAGGGCTGTGACAACCTTGCTCAGCAGCTTGTAGATGTTTGGGAGACAAGTTATGGAACGTAACTCTTTGCCCTTGCTTGCTCGTTTCGTCTTCACAATAAGGTACGTCGTGCCCATGTACAGTCGCCCGTCAATTTGTTCAGGGTCATCAACTGCTTTGACTAGAAGGTCGGTGAGACGAAAGTGGAGTGCAGTCAGTTTTTTTAATGAGTAAGCTGAATACGGGCCCTCAGGCCCCGGTGTCTTCCAGTTGAGTAGGAACCTGATCTTCTCCTCGATGACCTTCTTGACTTTTTCCTCCTCAGTTTCGGTCTGAAGCTCCACTGGGTCCAATAGGTCAATCATTTCCTGGTACTCCCCTTCTTCGTCATCGGTCACCCAGATTCCTTTCCAGAAAGTAATAACCTCATAAACATCGATGTTCTCGTCAATCTCCTTCTGGTCTTCGTCAAGTCTCCAGTAGAAGGTGGACCGATTGAACTCGAACAGCTTATTCGTTCTCTGATACTCTGTCCGATTAGCCGCAATCATCAGTTTTTTCTCAAAGACCGCCCTTTTCTCTTCAATCTGGTCCTCAATCTTCTTCAACTGGTCCTCGTTGTTCGAGTGGTACTGATTGGCTTTGCAGATTTGCTTTAGTGCTCTTGAGGGAGCCTCGTTCTGTTTGACTGGTGACAATTTGCAGCTGTTGACTAAATTTCTCGATCTTTTTTTTATAGACTCCTTCCAGTTCACCTTTTTCTTAGATAGGCCTCTTTGTAACCTCCTCATATGTCAGCTGGCGAGCAAAGATCAAGTCATTCAGCTTTGTTAGAGTATTTGCCTTCTTTTTCAGCTCCTCTCGCTCGATCACCAGATTGAGCATCTAGACTTCCTGACTGTATACCTTTCTTGTTCTTCTTCGGTCAGTTTGGTGATTAAGGGCCAGCTCGATGTTATTGGCCAGCAGATTCTTCACATTGGTGTACACTTGGCTATTTGTTATGGTCGCTGACAGCGGCCGGTCTCTTTCTTCGGTCACCTATACCATTGCCCGATTGAGTAGGCAGTTGTCGATTTTTCCAGCGGGTATACTTGTTTTTCATCGTTGTCGATGTTAAATCCTGGTTATGCTTCCGATTATACTCGATTGTTATTTTTGGCCACCAACCGTTGGGCATCCGTCCATGTGGTCCTTTACTGCGCTCGATCACCAGGGGCAACCATCCTTCTGGTGTTGTCGTCTCCCTGTTGGCTCGCCTCACGATCGCCGCAAATGCCACTTTTCTGTCGCCGGATTCCTCATCATCATCGCCGTTCGGGTCGGTTGGTGGTTCAGTTGGTTGATGGTCATCGCCTGTTGGGTTGGTGCCGAATGCGTCGAGGGCCGTTGCACTCGCGAGACGTCGTTGATTCCGGAGGGCTTTTCAGTTCCGACGCTCGGAGATTTATTATTTTGCGTTTCCATCCCTGTTTGTCAGTGACACACTCATTGTTTTTTCGACACACACCAAAAAACCAGTATCTCGGCTACAAATTTAGAAACCCAACCGCCATGGACGTCTGCTTGTATAAGTAGACCTTGTATCACCTTGTATAAGTAGAATATAGAAAAATACTTTGCAAAATTCTGAGGGCCGTCTCCCCTGAAATTAATTTTCAAAATAATAACTTCACCTCTAAATTCATGTTTACCGAAAAAAGTACCTTCTAATGTAATGAATGTTAAATCTTTTATCTTTGTAAAAAAACCATTGCATCCAAAGTGCTTGTCGTATTAGGTACACAACAGAAATACACACACACAACATGATTCACATAAGTATCCTTCACAGTTCCAGAACAGTTGTATCCATCCACTTCACCAGGAAAAAAATGATTGCGTCCAGGGTACTTGTCATAAATAATGTGGTGGCAAGTCAGAAACATTGGCGGTCATGTCAGGTACACAACAGGAATATGCACAAAATTCCTTCACCACTTGTTACGGAAAGAATAAACAAAAACAGAACGGTTGTATCTATCCACTTCAGAAAAAAATGATTGCATCGAGGGTGCTCTTTATAAATAATGTGGTGGCAGCGTAGAAACATTGGCCTTCATGTCAGGTACAGTGCGGATGCACATAAGGATCCTTAGCTGTTCGAGAACACTGAATCTTTAGCATCATAAACCGGGAGTGAGAATTGAGGCTTTTTTATATTTGATGGCAAAGTGGAAATGGTCTAGTGCTTTCATTCTTGTTATCAAGGTATTGCTCCATCTGGCCAGTCTTTGTCATGGACCAGTAGAAACTACTGGCCCTTAAATTGTGTAAGTTTCCTATACATCTGGCGCACCTTTTCCAGGTGGGTGTCCTGTGTCATTTGTTTTCCAGCATGATGCAGTCGCAGGTTGATGTAGCGTTCTGCAACACTTCTCACAAGAAGGACGTAATGATTCTCGAGCGGGCCAGTATCGTATATGTGGTCACGAATCGAGACAAATAGGCTTTTCTCAATGAATGCTTCAAGCACATTGGCAACCATTTTGTGGGCAATATTCTGTCCCGACAGTTTTCCACTGTTGATGACGGTGCGGACTTGCTGCTCACATTTTCGTGCAATCTTTATCACACTCTCCGACGGATAAAGCAGTCCTCCTCTGGTCTTGCGGCGTACCAGTGAGTAAGTTGAATTGGCATTGGACTCTGTTGTCAACGAGCTGAGGCATATCTCACACAGCAATGATCTGCGCAGGCTGCGTACAACAAAACCTGCTATGTAGGTCACAATCCGGCCGCAGCATTCTGTGATGTAGCCAGGGTTGAGGCAGTAGTTGTGACTGGCATCTTCACTTGCCTCATCTTGAGGAGGCAGCAGCTTCCAACGAGGAGTTGTGTAGTTGAGAACGTCTGCGGCTGGGACTGTGCCGCTGCTTGCATGGAGTATGCCAACCTCATCCAATGGTAGGCAGTTTCCAGTCACTACATCCTTGATTTCATTTTGTATGATGAGCCTCTTGAACACTGCACTGAACTGTCGAGCAGTGGGGTTGTCATTCTGCCGTCCAAAAGACCTCACTGTGCCAAAAAACAGCTCTAGATAGTCCTGGCTTACTTTGTGTGCTGGCAGATATTTCAGCAGCTGCTTCTCAATGACCAGAAAGTTGTACAGAGCCAACAGGCTCTTCATGCATATCCTGAAGCCGAGAAATCCTGTCTTGCGGTTAGTGAGAAGCAGGGTTGGCCCACCATGGGAGTCTCGCAAGGATGACAAGTAGGCATCTGCCTGTCTGAAGAAGTCCTCCACTTGCCTGATGTTTTGGGGACAGAGAGGCCTTTTCCAGTTCTTCTGGTGCACATTTCTAGAGTTCAGGACATCGACGAGGTTGTTGAAGATCCGCAAAAATGTCTCTGTTGGCTGGGACCCCAGAAATCCTGCGACACTGAGGCTGCGGCACTCATTTAGGGCGTCGGCGACTGACATGCTCAGGACCTGAGCTGCCAGGCTCACCTTCATTGGTTGTCGTTTCCAGTCGACGTGGGACAAACGGAGCTTGTTTGCAAGGTGTAGCCCTTCGTGTTGTTGCAGGACATGGAGCTGCTCGATAAAATGCCATGCAACGGCCTCACCGTCAGGGCCGATGAAAGCCTTCTTATCAGAAAGTGCATTCCGGACAAGTTTAAGCATGTGGCATGGGTCCATGAATGTTGCCACAGGTTCTTATGTGACCGGGTGTGGAAATGTTGTCCTCAGGTTGGCCATGTTACTGAAGTCGCATCCAAGCTCCCGAAGCATGGAGAGGTTTGCGGGCTCTCCATCACATGTTAGCGAGACAACAAGAGCTCCAGCTTCATGGGCATGGGTGAGGCCCTGGACAACAAGGTTGGCGCGCTGTTCTCCTCCAAGGCCATCAACGAGGAAGTATCCAAGAGGAATCTTCCATCTGCCATTGATGGACACTGCCAAGATGACAAATGCATTCTTTGCTAGCGGCAAACTGTCATCGTCAACTCCGCTTCCCACGTCCATGTAGCCCGCATACTTTTGGCCATCCCACTCCAAGTGTCGCCGTATCGACATTTCGTCCACCATGAGGCTGCAGATGGTGGCAATGCCTGCGGTGGTGTTGGCTTTGGTCTTCAGCTTTAGTGCCCTCAAGGCCTCTTCAGAGAAGCCAGGCTTGCCATCAATGGACTGGTACCACTTAGTTAGAGTTCTGGGATGGGGTAGGCATGTATCAAAAACCTTGCGCACGTAGGTGTAGGCACGTGGAGAGTAAAAATGCAGGGTCAAGGCAAAGGCTCGTAGTTCTGGTGAGTACTGCGTTGGTACAGGTGCTCCTGTGTGCTTGGCAAGCTGTCGTTGTAACAGCTGCTGATTTGCAGCACCAAAGCTCTGCAAGACAGCACCGTCTTCTTTAGCAAAATATTTTGCTTTACCAGGTCACTGACCATAGTCTTCAGTTCAGCATTCCTCTTGGTTAGCCGACGCTTGGATTGTTGTAGCCGTTTGATCGCCTTAGAATCTTTGATGTGCTGCTCGGTGAAGTGCCGCATGCGGGCTTCTAGGAATGCTTCTTTCTTGGTTTGTGCAGGCGTGACCTACAGTAAGAAATATTTGAAACAGTCAATGTGTTTAGTTTCACCTACATGTTGCATATATCATGTCAATCAGTGAAGTAATGGCTACAGTTGCACACAGAGTAAAATCATAATTTTAAGTTGCATGGCAATTGATTTTTGTGCATAGCCTTTATGCAAAAAAAAAGCTTTATGAGCTTTATGAAGTGCATAAGCTTTATGAAATGACCAACAAAGTAGCCCAAACAACCACTCTTCTTAGCTTTGTACACCTTTGATTTGGTACAGATTTTTTAAAACAATAATATTTCAGACATGAGAGCGTGAACTTGTGTGTATAGTAATTTTAGGTATGATATATCAAAGGTATTATAATACTAAGGTGCAAATAGTAATCCACTGAAATGAGGAGCTTAGAAGAAAGTTAATATTTTTTTAATAGTTTGAATTTTTTGCTCAATAATTTATGAATGTGCTTAAACTGCACATTTTAATCGAGCCAACAAACAATTGTTTTCTAATTTAATGTAGGTACAGAAATATATTTCTAAATGAAAATGCAGAGTCTATTTAAATATGGTTATTGACTTATTGTGAAGTATATGTCTCTCCACCACCAAGGCTCAACTAAGTTTAATCTAAATTATTTCATGTCTCTGGCATTTTATATAGTCCTATAAAGGTTGAAGGTACATGTGAGAATTGATAGGCCGCTCGCTATACCCAAATGTAATTTCTTCAAGAATATAATTTCTTCGAGATCAAGGGACAAAAAGGGACGACACAAACAACATTCTCGAAACGCTGCAACGTCCCCTTCCGGGTTTATAAGGAAACCCACAACTGTCCTTCAGACATGTGACATTGATCGCAACATAACATACTCCAGATATCACAATCACTGTGACCCCAAGCCGTCCACAACCTTAAAAAGCAAAGGAGAGCCCCTTGTTGCAAACTAAAAGAGATGACCAATATTGGTGCACACATACAGCTTAATTGTCAGGATATTGTAGCCTAATTCATTTTGTAGGTAAACAGGTAACCAACATCTATCAGGCATAATCAACATTTACCACACCACGTTCCCACCATTTTTTTTTTCTTTCTGAATCTGGAGGTATGCTTCGTCATAAAGCAGGAGACTGCACTGTCGTGAAGCCTCAGTGAAGGCTCGTCGCGATTCGCGCGATCGCGGTGTCCGCTTAATGCGTGTCGCTTCTCCGCAATGCACCCTTACTTGCTGAGAAGCCTACTGAACGGGGCCAAATATTTCTCTTAGCTTTTTTCCCTAGTGCTAAAGTTTAAAACATTAGTTAATTTTGTGACAGAAGTACGAAAAAAACAAAAAACAGACAGAATGAGAACCAACACTGGCGAATGAAGCATCGGTGAGCTTCTCATATGTATAAGAAAATGGCGACACTTATGCCAATCATTTAGTTTCTAGTCTTTGGGTGCACTGACACTTATTGGTACATACAGGTGGCAGTATTGCTCAAAGCCAAGAAGGACAAGGCAGGCACTCCTCGTGGCTCTATGTGTATCGTGCTGTCCAAGTTAATAATTATATATTTATTGTTAATATTTGTCAAGGAACATGTTGATGTACTAAATATTAGTTCCACAACTTGAACAGTAAAAATATCAGCTTTCTATCTAAAGTTGATATGACAAGAAATGAAAAGATCAGAGACACGATTTATTTTGGGTTAAAATGTTGATTTTGTTGAGTAAATTTTGGTGTAATTTGTTTTATAATGCTGGGTCACCTCTGAAACATTTTTGAGCGTCCCAAGTTTCTTACCACTGGGATTTCGTGACTTGTTGAGGGTTGAGGCGCGAAGACACGGCTTGTCCCTGGTGTCTAGAAAGTGAAACAAACAAACAAAAAAACAGTGAACGATTATTGTGATATGACAAGAAATGAAAAGACCAGACAAAGTTTATTTTGGGTTAAAATGTTGATTTTGTTGAGTAAATTTTGGTGTAATTTGTTTTATAATGCTGGGTCACCTCTGAAACATTTTTGAGCATCCCAAGTTTCTTACCACTGGGATTTCGTGACTTGTTGAGGGTTGAGGCACGAAGACACGGCTTGTCCCTGGTGTCTAGAAAGTGAAACAAACAAACAAAAAAACAGTGAACGATTATTGTGATATGACAAGAAATGAAAAGACCAGACAAAGTTTATTTTGGGTTAAAATGTTGATTTTGTTGAGTAAATTTTGGTGTAATTTGTTTTATAATGCTGGGTCACCTCTGAAACATTTTTGAGCATCCCAAGTTTCTTACCACTGGGATTTCGTGACTTGTTGAGGGTTGAGGCGCGAAGACACGGCTTGTCCCTGGTGTCTAGAAAGTGAAACAAACAAACAAAAAAACAGTGAACGATTATTGTGATATGACAAGAAATGAAAAGACCAGACACAATTTATTTTGGGTTAAAATGTTGATTTTGTCGAGTAAATTTTGGTGTAATTTGTTTTATAATGCTGGGTCACCTCTGAAACATTTTTGAGCATCCCAAGTTTCTTACCACTGGGATTTCGTGACTTGTTGAGGGTTGAGGCACGAAGACACGGCTTGTCCCTGGTGTCTAGAAAGTGAAACAAACAAACAAAAAACAGTGAACGATTATTGTGATATGACAAGAAATGAAACGACCGGACACAATTTATTTTAGGTTAAAATGTTGATTTTGTTGAGTAAATTTTGGTGTAATTTGTTTTATAATGCTGGGTCACCTCTGAAACATTTTTGAGCATCCCAAGTTTCTTACCACTGGGATTTCGTGACTTGTTGAGGGTTGAGGCACGAAGACACGGCTTGTCCCTGGTGTCTAGAAAGTGAAACAAACAAACAAAAAAACAGTGAACGATTATTGTGATATGACAAGAAATGAAAAGACCAGACACAATTTATTTTGGGTTAAAATGTTGATTTTGTTGAGTAAATTTTGGTGTAATTTGTTTTATAATGCTGGGTCACCTCTGAAACATTTTTGAGCATCCCAAGTTTCTTACCACTGGGATTTCGTGACTTGTTGAGGGTTGAGGCGCGAAGACACGGCTTGTCCCTGGTGTCTAGAAAGTGAAACAAACAAACAAAAAAACAGTGAACGATTATTGTGATATGACAAGAAATGAAAAGACCAGACAAAGTTTATTTTGGGTTAAAATGTTGATTTTGTTGAGTAAATTTTGGTGTAATTTGTTTTATAATGCTGGGTCACCTCTGAAACATTTTTGAGCATCCCAAGTTTCTTACCACTGGGATTTCGTGACTTGTTGAGGGTTGAGGCACGAAGACACGGCTTGTCCCTGGTGTCTAGAAAGTGAAACAAACAAACAAAAAAACAGTGAACGATTATTGTGATATGACAAGAAATGAAAAGACCAGACAAAGTTTATTTTGGGTTAAAATGTTGATTTTGTTGAGTAAATTTTGGTGTAATTTGTTTTATAATGCTGGGTCACCTCTGAAACATTTTTGAGCATCCCAAGTTTCTTACCACTGGGATTTCGTGACTTGTTGAGGGTTGAGGCGCGAAGACACGGCTTGTCCCTGGTGTCTAGAAAGTGAAACAAACAAACAAAAAAACAGTGAACGATTATTGTGATATGACAAGAAATGAAAAGACCAGACACAATTTATTTTGGGTTAAAATGTTGATTTTGTCGAGTAAATTTTGGTGTAATTTGTTTTATAATGCTGGGTCACCTCTGAAACATTTTTGAGCATCCCAAGTTTCTTACCACTGGGATTTCGTGACTTGTTGAGGGTTGAGGCACGAAGACACGGCTTGTCCCTGGTGTCTAGAAAGTGAAACAAACAAACAAAAAACAGTGAACGATTATTGTGATATGACAAGAAATGAAACGACCGGACACAATTTATTTTAGGTTAAAATGTTGATTTTGTTGAGTAAATTTTGGTGTAATTTGTTTTATAATGCTGGGTCACCTCTGAAACATTTTTGAGCATCCCAAGTTTCTTACCACTGGGATTTCGTGACTTGTTGAGGGTTGAGGCACGAAGACACGGCTTGTCCCTGGTGTCTAGAAAGTGAAACAAACAAACAAAAAAACAGTGAACGATTATTGTGATATGACAAGAAATGAAAAGACCAGACACAATTTATTTTGGGTTAAAATGTTGATTTTGTTGAGTAAATTTTGGTGTAATTTGTTTTATAATGCTGGGTCACCTCTGAAACATTTTTGAGCATCCCAAGTTTCTTACCACTGGGATTTCGTGACTTGTTGAGGGTTGAGGCACGAAGACACGGCTTGTCCCTGGTGTGTAGAAAGTGAAACAAACAAACAAAAAAACAGTGAACGATTATTGTGATATGACAAGAAGTGAAAAGACCAGACACAATTTATTTTGGGTTAAAATGTTGATTTTGTTGAGTAAATTTTGGTGTAATTTGTTTTATAATGCTGGGTCACCTCTGAAACATTTTTGAGCATCCCAAGTTTCTTACCACTGGGATTTCGTGACTTGTTGAGGGTTGAGGCACGAAGACACGGCTTGTCCCTGGTGTCTAGAAAGTGAAACAAACAAACAAAAAAACAGTGAACGATTATTGTGATATGACAAGAAATGAAAAGACCAGACACAATTTATTTTGGGTTAAAATGTTAATTTTGTTGAGTAAATTTTGGTGTAATTTGTTTTATAATGATGGGTCACCTCTGAAACATTTTTGAGCATCCCAAGTTTCTTACCACTGGGATTTCGTGACTTGTTGAGGGTTGAGGCACGAAGACACGGCTTGTCCCTGGTGTCTATAAAGTGAAACAAACAAACAAAAAAACAGTGAACGATTATTGTGATATGACAAGAAATGAAAAGACCGGACACAATTTATTTTGGGTTAAAATGTTGATTTTGTTGAGTAAATTTTGGTGTAATTTGTTTTATAATGCTGGGTCACCTCTGAAACATTTTTGAGCACCCCAAGTTTCTTACCACTGGGATTTCGTGACTTGTTGGGGGCTGAGGCACGAAGACACGGCTTGTCCCTGGTGTCTAGAAAGTGAAAAAAAAACAAAAAAACAGTGAACGATTATTGTGATATGACAAGAAATGAAAAGATCAGAGACACAATTTATTTTGGGTTAAAATGTTGATTTTGTTGAGTAAATTTTGGTGTAATTTGTTTTATATTGCTGGGTCACCTCTGAAACATTTTTGAGCATCCCAAGTTTCTTACCACTGGGATTTCGTGACTTGTTGAGGGTTGAGGCACAAAGACACGGCTTGTCCCTGGTGTCTAGAAAGTGAAAAAAAACAAAAAAAAAAACAGTGAACGATTATTGTTATATGACAAGAAATGAAAAGATCAGAGACACAATTTATTTTGGGTTAAAATGTTGATTTTGTTGAGTAAATTTTGGTGTAATTAGTTTTATATTGCTGGGTCACCTCTGAAACATTTTTGAGCATCCCCGGTTTCTTACCACTGAGATTTCGTGACTTGTTGAGGGTTGAGGCACGAAGACACGGCTTGTCCCTGGTGTCTAGAAAGTGAAAAAAAAGAAACAGTGAACGATTATTGTACATTATTTTCTATACATGATATCTAAATAATAATAACATACTTATTTTATTGTGTTAAAGTCTACTCGGTATATAAATTTGCTCTCTACATAAATGTTTCAATTTCTAATGCCAAAAAATCTGGTGTACATATATATTTTGAAATAAATAATTTTAATTCTAAGTAATTTATTTCCTCAAGGAAAATATCTGTATGCAACGACATGCAAGGCTAGACAGGAAAATAATAACCTCCAATCTAGATTGTGAACAAGTCATACATTACTTCGTCATGTCCCTTTGTAAGTATTAGCCTGTTGTCCCTGGGCAAGTCACTTGTATTGTGCAAATGTTTAGCTTAGTCTCAACCTACATCCAACATACATATTATGGTGTAGCCTGGTCTACAGAGATGTACGCACTGAGGGTTGATCTAGCCAAAGTACTCACCTCGAAACTTTGCTCCATTGGAGCCTGCAGAATGAACTGCACGGCCAGTGGCTGGGCAGGTTCCTGTAAGGGTTTCTATCAGCTGAGCTTTGTTTGGCCTATGCGACGCAGTTACCTGTGGTCCCTCCTCGGCAGCGGTGACCTGGTCTGTTGCGGTTTGCTCCTACAAGAAACATACACATTATGTATAGCCTGACCTAAGGAGAAGAGTATGCTCTGAGGGTTGATCTAGCCAAAGTAGTCACCTCGAAACCTTGCTCCACTGGGGACTGCACGGCGAGAAGATGGGAGGGTTCCTAAAGAAATTAATGCAAATTAAGCTGTTGACTGTCTAATGAATGGTAAGCATTTGGTAAATTGAACTAGTGAATGTCTTATTCACATGGCCATCATCTGTGCCACCAAAACAATCAACCACTGCAATTAATGCTCCAATATGACTATGAAATTTCTTTGTTTTCACCATACACTCTTTTTTATAAAAACATGAAATATATTAGTTTCCCAAGTAATCTTTTGAATCATATATTAACAATGTTAACTATTATCTTTGTTTCTTTCTGTGCTGAATATGTACCTGATGCAAAAAAAATGATGGAACTGCATGTTGACATAGACGAGCGCATCCTTTCGAGGTATGGTCCAGGCTATTGGGGTGAAAATGCTCAGAACACACTCTGCCGTCTTTTGGTGGTTCCCAGCCATCCTCTTTCCCTAAAGCCTTGACCCATTCAGCTCGAAGTTGTGGATTTCTTGGAAAGCTGTAAAACATTATTAGTTGTCACTAAATCATCTTTGCGTGAGCAGCGGTCCACCATCTTATGCATTTTTAACATTCTGTTTAGGATTGATGACAAAATTTTCCTCTCATATTCTGGTGTCACAGATATAGTATGCTGCCTTATTGCTAAGAATAAATGTATAACTTTGCAAACCTTGATGGCACTATGCTTTTTTTAGTTATGGCCCAGTATGCTTATAGCTTACATCTCCCTAATTCTGCTGTCATTGAATTTCAAATGGTGGTAAATATAGACGATCCAATTGACCTTACAGCAGGCACGTAGCCAGGATTTTGTTTCGGGGGAAGGGGGGGGGGGGGGCGCCCATGACAAAATGCTGTATGAGGGTGAGGGGGGGAGAGGAGGTCCCAGCAAAATGAAAGATTTCGGGGGGGGGGGGCCAGGCTCCATGGGCCTCCCCCCTGGCTACGTGCCTGCCTTACAGCAGTGTGCCTAGAGCGCCCATACATAAGGTTTCAAAATAAAGGCGTTTGAAGAAAAGCAGTAAATAAAATTGCATGTAGCATATCAGAATTTTTTTTTATGATTGACACCTTGTAGTTGTCGAAATTAGGGGCTATGCATAATGATGCCTAATGTATTTAATTCGTTTTTTGGCAATAAAGAAATTTCAGGAAGATTATATTATTTTTACACTATACGGTTTGTCTTTTAAGGAAACAATGTGCCAATCGAACCTTTCTATTTCCAGAAGATAGCTGAGTGAACCGAAAAGGTACAGTACGCGGCCCGATGTTCATAATTTTGCAATAATTATTGCGTGTTCAAGATAGTCACATATGCTTGTTGCAATGTATACATATGTATACTAGTCTAACTGGGTAAAATCGCAGGTTTTGATTTAGGCTAAAACAAATATCCATTTTGATAATACAATACACGACATACTGTGGTTAGGGGATGCCTAAATGACCAAAGAGTGGGTGTTTTACATTGCACGGGAAAGGAAACCGCGCGCTTCCGGGCTAGAGACGAAGTATAGTGTGGAATCTATAGCGTCAATGAAATCTCGTTTCGTAAAGAGAAATAACTCACGTGTGGTACGAGACCTTTTCCTGTGACGACGAACGTGAATGACAACCTGTCACACAGCAGCTCGGCATAGCAAGTGCTCCAGCAAAGGCAATTGCTAAGCTCAGCTAGAGCACGTCTATAGCAGACGACTGAGGCGGGAAGTGAAATGAATCTCGCCCTCTTTTCCCTTGAGTCAGTGCGCCCATGTGTCACGTGAGCAGTTCTGACCACTGAGCATCTACTTTTTTCGCGGACAAAATGTGTCACATGACATCCACTGGGCGTCTGCTTCGATGCAATCACGTTGACTTCACAATGCTTCACAATCACACTTCTGATTTTAAAATTTTCTTCTACAATAGGGAAATGCAAAACAAATTCTTTGAGTTAAAAAAAAATTAAATTGGTTTGTGGGATGTTTGTCTGCCCTTCAAGAGATGCAATCGCTAGCCTGGGGTCTTTAACGTGCGTCACGCAGTAGTAAAACACGAACGTGTGCCGGTACGATGCCTATCCAGATCGAAACGGGCAGGGGTGGGAATTGAACCCAGGATTCCCTGGGCTCTGCATCGTGAGCTGTCGCTGCACGTGCTCCTAGCTGCGACGCGTTAGCGCACCAGGCCACCGATCCCCCTCTTCGAGTTTTCATATAGAGCATATGCGACCGCGGTCTACCTTTCAAAGTACGATTTTCTCGAGCCCGTGCCCGATACGATACTCATCCAGATCAAACAAGACAGGGTTTGATCTCACTAGATATGTAAATATATTTACTCACCTGATACTTCAAAACAGAGCTTGAATTATTCTTCTAGATGGGGATAACTTGCTCTTTAGTGGGATTCGTGAAGCTGCTTGTCGTTGTTCCTTATAAACTCAAACTAATTCGTGTCTTACCTTAATGTATACGGAAGACCTCGACCTTTCGTTCGTGCTACCATCATTGTATAGAATTCGATCTAGATCTAATTGAGAGTGACGAAGAGCGAAAACAGCTTGTTTTGTGTTCATATTTTATTGTTCGATTCCACCACGCCACGTCTCAAGCCAAATAGTCGCCCCGCGCAGCTCGCCTCGTAAGCTTAGAATGCCTAGATTTTAGAGAAGTTGCAACTCAAACTGAATCGATTTTGGGTTGATCACGTACTTTGTGAACGAAGGGAGTCTCTACGCTCAGCGCCTTGTCGCACTGCTTATCGTAGTCGTACGCGGGCAGATTTCACTGTCCACTGCCTACCGCACCAGTATTTGGCGTTTTGGGACACCTGCGTTTGATTCCTATGTTGTTATTATAGTACGTTTCATCATAGGTCCGAGCGGTCCGAGCGGAGCCGGAGCTTCGAGCACGAGCATACAGCTTTGGACAGTGCACAGATCGCAGTAGCGCGTATGAAAGCCAGGAGCGCACAGAACAACGGGCTCGCGCTTCCAGTTCTGACTTCGCTCGCACATAATGTGGAACTAAGTATAAACACTCACGCTGCAAAGCATTTGCATCGTGGACGCCCAGGTCGGACGCCGACCGCATCGAAAGCTAGCCTCGTGAAGCACACGCCGGAGCAGATTCGAAAGCAGACGAACCGCCGGTGCGCTACCCCACGGCCTCCGAACGGGTGCGCAAGGCAGTCTGGGATTAAACGCCTCTTCCGGCTTCACTCAGGCTGACGTCATGCCGGGTCCTGTCTGTTTAAACGTCCTTGTATACGGGTATTGCCCCCGAGCCTAGGGGTCTAAAACAACATAGTTTGCAAATGTCGAATCATCTTCCTGCTCAACATATACGCTGAATTCATTTAAACGATGCTTAATAAAAATGAGCGTACACCGGCTTGACCCACAGTATACGACATACTCTTCTTACCCCAGACTTGTACGTAATCCGTTACAAGTAACGAAATTACTTGTAATCCCTTACTTTTTCAGTAATTTAGTAACGGAATAATTACAAATTTTCTAGAGTAATTTTAATGTAATTCCCGTACATTTTTGACGTAAAGGATTCCTTGTAATCCGTTACATTTTTTTGACAGAACCAACCCACCCCCCCATCTAAATAAATATAGTTTTTTATAATGTCGAGCGCAGTGACACTGTCACGCGAATCGACCAGCGCAAAGGGAGGCTTGGCACTCTTCAGTTCCGCAAAGCCTTTTTTTGCAACACCAAGCCGCTGAATCTATCTTTTTTTAGACCCTGACATCAATGTCAAAAAATCCAAATGAACAATTCTACAAAAAAAAAAAAAGGGGGGGGGTCAAGTTATTTCCGCTTTTTTTTTAGTCCCTTTGTTTTTTCTTTGCGATGGAACACGGGGAGAGGAGGACACCAAGTGATTGTGCGCCTCTTCGAGAAGCTCGAGGCACTGAAAAGGATTAACAATGTCCTTCTAGGACCATTTTCATAATGTCACACCACGAGACAAAGCTCCGTCTACCCTACCCTTTTTGTGAGTCAGCTTTTTGCTAGCACTTAGAAAATGGTAATAGTCTTCCCTTCTTCTTCCTGTTTTGCCCCAGCAGGACCCATCTTATCTCAAGCAGATATTTTTTCAAATAAAACATAATTGTGGCTGACGTAGGCTTGATATTCGGGGCTTGAGGAAAGATTGAAATTCGTGAGTGGGGCCATAGCGCGGCTTACTTAGTACTCTACCCTTTGCTGCCCGTGGCATCAGCGGACGTCTATCTGGAGAACACCGGAGTAAACTGCAGTCGGTCCGTGCTCCGTGCATTTTTGAACGGCACCAAGAAAGGTACACAGGGCAAACGTGCGTTTACATTTCCATGTTTTAACCGTTTGTTATGAGTGTTCTTCTTTTTCTTTTATTACTTATATTTACATACTGGAAACTTTGTTTTATTCACCAACGTCTCAAGTGAGGCTCAAACTGATCAGAACCAAAGAAAGAGGAATGTCGAGCCAAACCTCATTTATTATTTAATTATAACCTTACTATTACAACTATGTTTTGCTATTGATGACTTCTACAGCTTCGCGATTTAGGCAATGGAGAATTTTAGTAGATCGGTCCAATGACTCCGATAACGATATCCGATACTTTGCCGCAGTCTTTGCGTATGCATCATATCGTAATCGGGTACCGTTATCGCGGGTAAAGG